ACGTTACATTAAATAAGATTAAAATAATTATTGCATTGTTATGAAAGTGTTTTTTTTGTAAATCTTGAACTTTTGCCCATATTTAAGTTAAATAAAAATTTATAAATTTAAAATAATTCGCGTTTCAGTACATAAATTAAAAATAATGAGCGGTTAATAATTTTTAAATTATTTCATAGTAGGAACAAGGTTAAAAGAGATATTAACTAGTTGACTTTACCATTTGATCATATATAAATAACACTTCCTACGTTAAAGAAATAGCACACAAAACAAGTATTTATTTTTATGCTTATGATAAACGATAATAACCATCGAGTAAAAAAATAAATTGAATTTATACAGTTTGTTTGACGTGTTTATTTTATCTATATATATAAAAATGGATTGCTGTTCCTTAGTCTCACTAAAACTCGAGAACAGCTGAACGGATTTATCTTATCTTAGTCTTGAAATGTTCGTGGAGGTTCAGGGAAGGTTTAAAAGCTGAAAAAAATTGATTCATTACTGGGAAAACCATAAAAACAGCCCTTTTCAATTTCCCATACAAACGTTTTTTTTTGACATTTGATTTGACAACTAATTAATATGTCAATCATTCTGTCACACTTCAAAACACGGAGATTTATGGCTTACAGGTAAACTCCAAAAATATAAATAAAAAACGTAATAGATATTTCATGATTATAGGGCGATACGAAGTTCGCCAGGTCTTCTAGACTTTTGATAAAAACCCAAAAAAAATTAACATACTGGAATTCTCGGCCTAAATGAGATATATATATCTGAGTACATGTATGTAGATATTAACTATAATATGTATTCATAAAATATTCAAAATTTTATAAGCGTCTGGGAAGGGTTAATTTGATTATTCCTTAAGTTATCATTAAATTCAATATAAGAGACTTAATATTAGTATTTTAATACAGGATATATTTAATGTAAAAAATATTAAGAAAGTATTAATATTGATATAACTTTTGACTACGTTTTTATATTAACAAATAATTGATATGAGAACATTGTCTAAAAGGTCATTGCGTTAAATTTGTTTTTATGTTAACATACATATGATTTATAAAAAGTCATTTAGTTCAATAAAAGTAAAACGCATGAAATTAAAAACGAATTAATTTTCGATAAATTAAAGAAGAAATATCTTTTATTGATACTATTTTATGTCCTATTTGTTATATATTGCTATACAATATCGTCATCAGCCTATCAGAAGCCCACTGCTGAGCAAAGGCCTCTTTGTCACATTTAGAAGGTTTGAGCATTAATCACCACGCTTGCTCAAGACGGGTTGGTGATTTCAAACTTATAATTATGAAACTATAAGTCCAGGTTTCCTCACGATGTTTTCCTTCACCGTATGTCAGTGGTGTCTAAATACTCTCAGAAAGTACATATGACTCGGAAAAATCACATTGATACTTGCCCGGGTCAGGATCGAACCCGCGCCCTCGTGAATGCTATACAATGCAGACAATAAATTAATTTATTTTATTCTACAAATCAAATACCCGCTCACATTTTTTACTTAACTTTAATTTAATTCTTAATTAATTTTAAACATAGAAAAGTAATTTAACAGCTTAGAATGAAGACAAGTCAAGCCTCTGAAAGTTTATTTGATTACAATTATTTTAAGGAAAAAATGTTTTGTGTTTAGTGTTTGTATAGAACGTTTATAAGAATCGATATTAAATGTTGTTTCTAATTTTTTTACTTTCAAAAATTTTAAATCTTTAAATAGGTTCATATTTATTTTGTTAAAGACTTTATCACATACCGATATACAGTGTGTATGAAAAATTGTGTCAACCCCCTTAACTGCGTTATCAGTATCGAAGAGGTAACACAATAAAATATTTTACATTTACAAACTTTTCAATAAAAATAATAAAATTAAATATTAAATGATTATTATATGAAGAGTAACAAAATGTTTGTACCCACTGGTATAACACGATGAGACTCCATGGCGCCATCACACCTGCTGCGCTACTAGTGAAGAACTCGAACGTACATTCACATTATTTTGATTGTTTAATCACTTTAACCATTCACTGATACCACTTTTTTTAAAATATCGATACGTTTCACAATGTTACAAATCAATTTAAAATAACAGTTAATCAAAATAACATCTACTTGACGGCCATGAATGTGTTGCTAAATGTGTTGCCCGCCTTGTACTTCTATGCATTTACGGCATCGGGAAATAAAGTTAGCACGTACATTTTGTAAGATGTATTTCATTTTATTTCTTCGAATTAAACAACACAATTTTATAAAACCGAAAGCAAAAAGTGATCCACTTGGAAGAAATTGCCACGAGAATCTAACTAATAATAATTTTTTATTAAAAGGGCGGCATAGGCTCGAATGAAAAATATCGATAAATGAAAATATCGATATTTAAGAAATCATAACAGTAAATAAATATTTTATATTCATATTATTTCGATACTTATTTTGATATATCAAACATTAATATTATTTTTGACATATATACATATAATATTATTTTTGATTGTAAAACACCAAATTTCAGGTCAGATATTTGAAACATTTTTTCAAATAATGTCGATTTAAAACTTATATGGCCTATGCACTTTAACTGACCTCTGCTTGATATTTTTTAAGTTATACTATTTTTAATAATAAGCTTATATGTACTTATATGTATACATGCCTTTAAGGGAGGACACAGTTTTTGAACACGCTGTATAATTAGTTTTCCTAATACTTAGACAAATAATAACAGCAATAACAGCAATATAAAACTCCTGAATCGTAGAAAAGAAATATAAATAAACACTTCACAAGTTATTGTAATTAATTTTTGGGATCAAAAATATGTTACATTGTAAATTTATTTAAATTAACTAACATGTTTATTAAATCTTCCAATTTTTTTTATGAACATCTACTGTGTGGCGTTCAGTCAATTTCTATATGACAAACTTGCTGATATTTAATTTTATAAAAACATTTAAAGAAAATTCTACATTAAGAAAACGTTGAAAATATGACTCGTTATTTTGTTATTCACATTTGCTTAAGTCAAATGGGAATAATTACGAATAATATATTACTCGTGTTTGAGGCTTCTAGGGGAAATTTTATGCTACGTGAGTTTTTTGACAGTAAAATATAAAAGGGTTGATCATTTTGTTGAGGTTTATAATTTTGAGCGTGTATATTTTTTATTGTTATAAGTAATTGTCAGTGGAAACACATTTTTTTTTATGGGAATAGGGGGCAACCGAGCAGACGGCCTACTTGATGGTAGGTAGCTACCGTCGCCCATTGACATTTGCAACATAGATATACAGATGTGTTGCCGCCCTTGTTTGGGGAAAATGGGGAGTAAAAGGTGGGAAAGGAAAGGGCAGGAAAGGGTGGGAAAAGGGAAAGGGCAAAGTGAAAGGGAAAAAGACGTGTAGCTTTTAAAACTATTCCAGAGTAATATTCCACGTTTGAAGCTGTTTAAAAATGCGTAGCTTGCTTCTGTTTTTCTTCAGTGCGAAGTTTTTTGTAACCTTTGTATAACGTTTAAGTTAACCGCCGTAGTTTTTAAAAATTTTTGTGATATAAAGTACTGTAAAGTGTTTTAAAATTTATCAGATTTAAAACGATTGAGATGAAGCGATCGATAGTTTTTTCTTTTAGTTTAAGAAGTTTTTTAAATCCACCGTATAACTTTTAGATATAAAATAGACTGCACTTCTAAACATAACATTTACTACGAATCAAATTTTGTAGTACTCTTAAGTTGAACATTATTATAATCTTAGTAAATTGACGTTTCAGTTTAAACCCTGATTTTGGATGGAGGATTTTGGTTTACTTTTGTTTGGTTATTTGTCTGTGTATCATTTTGGAGTAATGTATTATTATTATATTAAAAATAGAAGAATAGTTCTTTCATATTAATTTAATTAATTATTTATGTGTATATATTTAATGTGACATTAAAGTATATATATATATATATATATATATATATATATATATATATATATATATACATATATAGTAAATAGAAGGTTATAACAATATATATGTAATACTAATTTAGAGTAATTTTTTTTATTCGAAAAAAATGAAAAAAAATGAAAATTCTTTAAATGGGAAGACCTTACGCAGCTGTTATGCTCTGTCCTCTTCTAACGCACGGAACAGTTGCTTGGGACCTCTCAGTCGTACATATTCACTCGCGGCAATATTTTACTTTTTAAAATTCGACAACCCTAATTTAGGACCGATTTTTCGCAGGCAACCCTATTTTACCGTGTTCATAATTAAATAATCTTTATTTTCATTTAAATTTGATTAAATTATCAGACCGGTGCAAAATGCTATTATCGATGTACCTGTTTATCCCTGGCAACCCGACAGTTGTGACTGGAAAAGAATAGGCAACCTAACGTTTTCATATTCTATGGGCTCCGTACTTTCGATTGGTGTGGAATTTATCTAATAAACAAACCGGTGAAATATTTGAAAAAAAAATCTATTTTTAATTGTTAATTAATCATATCCTGGACTAAAATTTATGAGGCAACCCATATGTAATATAGTTATTGACATATTAAATTGAATATAAAATATGTTTCATCAAATAAACATCTCGGTGAAGGTCGCTTATATCGGGATCCTCTACTATCTTGTTCAGATGTCGCTACTTGAAATTTCTATAATACTTTATAATAAATAAATTTCGTACTCGTAATTATAATGTCTCAAATTTTTTATGTGTTTTTTATCAATATATCTTAATTTTATGTACTAACTCTTATTACGAATGACTATTAACATGTAACTTTGTTAGGATCACCGTTTTGCAATCATAAAAAGTTATTTATATAGATAACTATAACAGATATATTTTCGATTTACTTATACCAATCACCCCAATAATTCTCTGGGGAAATACAAAATGACATTAATAAAGTTTATCGTGTTAAAACATCCGTCTGATTTACCTGTATACAGGGTTTTCGTCCCTGTACCACACCACAAGGAGCAAGCTATCATTACGTTGAGGAGGGCGCGAATCACAAGGTAGGCTTGCCTCTCCTCCCACTATCGATGACACCCTTGTGACCGTCCCAGTGATAGTAGACAATGGACTGCCTGTGGGGACAAAAACAGATTACGTACTTTGTATTTAAATTTGTATTATATATATATATATATATATATATATATATATATATATATATATATATATATATATATATATATATATATATACATATATACATAGTGAATTCGTTGACAGAATTCTATTGTTTATAACAGTTTATCCATTGAAAGTAACACTGAATGTCCTCTAAAAATTAATTTTTTCTTCAATCCCTATTTGTGTTCATAAATTAAAGTGAATTTATAATATAGGAGTATTGCTTAATATTTGATCATTGTTGATTCGGGAAATGTAATTCATTGGGTGTTCAATTCTTTTTTAAAAGACGATTTAATTCATTGTTGAAATTTCACCCCCCCCTTATGAGATGCGAATTGAAGGGGCAAGGTTTCGGTACGCAGCAATTTATTATATTTATAATTAAATTAAATTACAAATTCATAAAATTTATAACATATCACCAAAATCGTGTCTATATTATTGTGAAGATCATTTTAACGTAAATATATTTTATTTTTATACAGCTTAGTGTAAATTAGTAGAAAGAAAGTTTTGAATTAGAAAATACGTTTTAAAATAAACCTTACCTATAAGAAAAGTGCAGTAGCTGTAACTTTCTATAAAAACTTTATTTCTGTTGTGGACATTTTTATGGTTGTTGATTTATTTCCATTTAAGATACAGATATATATGTACGTATTGAATACAATCTAATGAAAGGGTAAGGAGGAAAATGTACTTTACTGTTGAAGAAAGGAATTTTGCCTCATGTACATATATATATGTACATATGTACATATATATGTAGTCAAACATGGATCTTGCCATTACCAAAGGAGAGGACGGCTGTAGTTGAAACTAAATAATTGAAATTGGTCAATAAAGACATCTCATCAGAGATAGCCATTTAAAGTAGTGACGTTAGTGAACTTTCACGAAGTAAGTCCAAGTACTTCCCACATAAATATCTGTTCCTCCAGGACCCAGTACTTCTCGTATTAGATGTGTTGATTTTCAGGTATAGCTTTTCATTTCTCGTATTGAAGAGAAATTACATTGTAACAAAGCGAATTAAAGGTGTCAATGTAATATATAGGGGAGAGTCGGACATATCGTACCACTTTTCACTTTAACTCAAATATTTCGACTATAACACGTCTTATAATAATTAACACATATGTAAAATAAAGTTTCATATTTTAGCTTCCTAAGAAGAAGAGAACAGATCCTTGCGATTATTCTAACATTGTTAAAAATGCTTTTTTATAGAGGCTTGCCATCGGTACGATTTAGCCGACTAGTCGTTTTAATCGTACCGCTAAGTCTTTAAATCGTACCATGGGTGTTTAAGTCGTACCACTGAATGAAAAACAATAAAATTCTCAATCAAATTATTTATTTTTAACTGTTAGGTAAGTAATAAAACAACATTATTTATATCTTTTAGGTAATAGAAACATAATTTTTAACTCTTAGGTTATACAGGGTGACTAGTGAATTACTATCGATACTTGAGGACGTGATATTTGACGATCATATATGACAAAAAAAAAATTAATATAACATAAATATTAATAAACTTCTAAGTAAAGTGAACCAAAAGTTATGTAGTTAATTACGCATCGTGTGAACACCCTACATATTAGGTATACACACACACACACACACACGCGTGCGGCGGCGTGGTGTTGTATCAGCACGCCGCCGCACGCGTCCACACTTGGAACACTTGGAACGTGTCCACACTTTGGTCAAAAATTAAGTATTTATAGTATTTATTTTGGTCAGAAATTTGGTCAAAAATTAAGTACCTATTTTTTTCACATAATTCGAATGAGAATCATGTACTGAGTATTCTCCTTAAATATTGATAGTAATTCACCAGTCACCCTGTATAAAGGAACTATAAGCTTCCTCAGTAAAATAACATGATTATACTATGATAATGAGATCAATCAACATAACTAATAAAAATGAGACAAAAAAAAAACAGTAAACTATAATAATAAAGTAACAGTTAACAAGAATGTTATTTGTAATATAATTATTGTGCATATTTCTTAATGGAAACAATAATGATAGATGTCTGGATTCGAAGAAGGTACATGTCTCATGGAGCCACCGTTTACAACGAACGCATTGAATCCAATCAACTTTTCCACAATTTTTATCGTAGTAAGAACAATTGCACTTTCGACTTATATGTATTTTCGAGATCATCATCGCTGTCATCATCATCATCTATGTAGTTCTACAACAAGTGTCTCTCCTGAATCATCGCTACTGGTGATGGAATGAGATCGTTTCCTCTTATAACTTTTGTTTTTGGCCTTGGGTAGTACTTACTATAGGTACTTGCGGTAGTACTATAGGTACTTGCGTTTGGTAGTCGGGTAAATCGTACCAGTACAATTTAACCAACTGCAAGTGGTACGATTAAACCAACTAAGGCATTTCTAAAACAAAAGCAAATATCCGGCATAAACTCAAAACTTAGACACGCAACAAAAACCCCCAATAATCTATTATACAATTGTAAAATAATAAAAAAAAATGAATAACTATAGCTTACCTTGATTACGAGTTATCTCCTTACGAATGTACGACAATATTTATATTAATTCCTACAAAAAATGTTTTTCTTTTATTACTTGCACAGTTGTTAACTCACGTCGATTTAAACTAGTGGGTGAAGAGGGATGGTACAGGGCCACGATTTAGCGTTGTCAGTGTAGAAAAAAATATTCATTAAATGGGAAATTTAGAAGTGGTACGATTTAAATGCTAGTACGATATAACCAACTCTCCCCTATATATATATACCAAAAAGATAAAATGTAACATTGTCACCATTGCCTCTTGTAATACAGGAACGTCTCCAGTAAAATGAAAATTGTTTACTGAAAACACAGCAGGTATTATTTCTATATCATCTTATTCTTCTATGACCTTTGCTTAAGGGAGCTTTCCAGTGTGAAATTTTCAAAAAAAAAAAAATTTTTTTTTTTGCTTTACGAATAGTAAACACTCTTCTGAATATTCCCTGAAATTTTCGTGCCGAAATTCATATTATTCCGGTTACTGTACAGCAATTCTTGGAAGAAGGCAACGGAGCGCTACGGCTGCCGTGTCGGCCGGCTGCCCGTGCGACCGTTATTTCTATTGTCTCTTTCCTACCTGCTCGTGTCCCTTCCAACGTAAGCCCGGTTCGTCTTTCAATTCGGTTTCGACATTCAAAATGGATAGATCTACGAAAAAGAAATGTGCGTGGCAGGATAGAAAAGGCTCGAGAAGCGGACATCCGCGAAATGAACGGAAAAGATCCACGGGTTTCAAGGGAACAAATCGACACGATATCGAAACGGATCCAACGTTTGCGAGCACTTCGGCAGCAAAAATCTCGAAAAAGAGTCCAGAGTTTGAAGTCCGAATCGATCAAACGTTTAGTTATGTGATTTTGGAGTTCTTTTTGGTTTTCGGCGCTCTTCAGGAACTGTTGAAGTGCAAAAAGTGCAATAGCGACGTGAAGTTTTGAAGCTGATTTACGAAGATCTAACAACGGACGATCTCTTAGAACGATGTACGGGCGCAAACACTCAAAACAATAACGAGAGCTTCAATCACTGTGTGTGGCAACTAGCCCCGAAGCACGTATTCTGCGGCAAGCAGATAGTGGAAATCGCTACGCAGTGTGCTGTGTGCACCTTCAATGAAGGTTACGACCCGATTATAAAAATTTTGGAGACGATGGGATGCACGATAGGGCCGAGCGCCGCACATTTCGCCGCAAAATACAAAAATGCGCGCATCACACAAGCAAACCGCCGGGCGTCCCTGGATAGCAAAGAGGCGAGGACAGCTCGTCGGACTGAACAATCCATCGAGCACGATGTTTTCGAAGAAGCAGAAGGGATATTGTATGGACCTGGCATCGCTGATTGACCGTGAGTAAACGATTTACCTAAAATTTCCTCACTTGAAACTTTGAACGCGTTTTTCTCGAAACAACATTTTTCAAAACGGTGTCCAACTTGGAGGGCAGAGTTTTAAAGCTATCGAGTTGAATTTTTTACACAATATTCTTAACGTCATTGTTTATCGTGCTATGGAAGCTTTTTTTTTCCTTTGACATCTTCCTATTTTTTTGTAATAAAAACTGCCAAAAAAAAAATGCTAAAATCGATACTTTTTGTTCAAACCGGCGCCATTTTTACAAAAAAAAATTAAAAATAAAAAGCCTCCATAGCACGAAAGCCAATTATATACCGATCAATAATCTTTTTGTTTTTTTTTGTTTCAGATCAAAATTGTGACCCCCAACGTGGACACCACATCCAAGTGCGTTTTCTGCAACCATTGTTTCGTTATTTTTATAGATATGAATTATTAATAAATCGATCTATGAAAATTGTTTTGTATTCTTCAATACCCAATTAATATACAAAAAAAAAAACCAGACCGATTGGATTATTTTTTCTTTAAAAAAAATAATCGCGAAAAACAGCGATTTTTCGGGCTGTCACACTGGAAAGCTCCCTTAATGTGTTCTAAGTACTATTGAAAAAATGCAAAAATATTGTTAGTATTACCTATACAACCTTCGCTTCCTAGTAAACGCAAATTAATAACCCATACAATCAGCACAAGAATACATGTTTAAATATATATTTATTTTCATAAAAACCTGTAAAACAGTATGAGTTTCAACGCTGATGAATGCATTTCTGTATCCCATGACGTCACACTTCGTTCGACCAATGTTGAAGCGTTTTGAACGTTTGAATTTCTTTCGATTATTTTGCACTTTTGGAATATTATTATTTTAGGGGTTTAAATAATAAGAAAAAATACTACATTACAATATGACGATAATAAGTACACACAAGAAAAAATATTTTAGGGCCTTTAATTTTTTGCGTATTCCTTATTCCGATAATAATAGGTATATTTATATATTGTATATTTATATGTGGATATATTTTTATACTGATTTACTGACGTTCATTTCGAACTGTTCACTTGATCTTTCAAAAGTTTCTTCACATCGTAGTTTTATTAGTGATAATTTTATATTAGTAATATTGATATTAGATTTAACACTAATACTTTCTAATATCACATTCCATTCATCAGGAACTCCAACATACGCCTTTAAATTGTCGTTAATCAAAAAATTGTTTACTTTCAATATTTCAGCCTTTTTTACAGAACTGATACAAATTAATATTGTTTTCCTTTAATTTTGTGAAATTGACGTTATTTTGTAAAAACAAATAGAATTATACATTTAACTTTACATATTTATGCGTGCATAGATATGTATATGTTTGCGGGTTAGACTGTGGTTTTAGGTACAGTATTTTTTCATCACTTTTTGGCTTTAATGATGTTAAATCGTCTTTGAATATCTGTGATAATTGAAATTAAAAGAAATGGGTTAGGAATAAAGGTTTATGGTGATTTCAGGTGTATTTTAGTTTATGATATATAGAAAATTTATGAGTTCAACTTCTAAAATATGATCTAAATGAAAAACTGCTTCTGAATGCTCTGTCATCGAAAAAATTGCTATTATATTTTCTATTAATTTTCTACATTGCTCTAAAGAATCGTGTAGCTACGGAACATAATATAGATATAGATACAAACTCCGTTCAGAGGAATAAGGAAATTAACTTTATTCAAATAAAAACTTAACACATATTTCTTGATTGTAAAATCAAGAAATCTGTCTTTTTCTTATCTATTTTATGTTTAAATTAATACAACAATAGTATAAGTCTTTAGTATTTCGATAATCTGTCAAGATTTCAACTAATAATATTTAAAAAAAGTTTTAAAATGTAACATTTATATTTTTATGTACATATTTCAAATCAAGGCCTGCATTTATTAAACTGCTAGCGTCATCTGTTATATTTTTGTGTGAGTTATTTACATGAAACTCCAATTTCTTTCGATAGATGTCGCTAGAATATTATCTTTAATTTACACGAAATGAATTAATAAATTTATTAATAAAATAAATTTATTAATTCATTTATTAATGAAATAAGTTACTATTAATAAATTTATTAATAAAATAAATTAATAAAATAAATTTATAGATTTATTTCTGAACTTATGTAAACCATTACCTATGTCCTATAGTATTTGACAGGATGGACTTCAAATGTTTGACAAATGACAGGTACAACCCGGTTCGATTGATCCTCGGAACCCGCGTTCGATCCTTTACATGTTTTCGTATATATTTAGATTATATCACAAAAATCTTTAGTGTTGCAAACATAACTTACATAAAAAAAAATCTTTTCTTGGTTTTTATAATTAGAATCACTTTAGGGTTATTTCAAGCAACTATTCAATTGTCATTTCACATAGATAATCATTATACTTATATATAAATTATTTCTTTAGAAAGTCAAAAAAATATTTCATGACAAATAAATGCTTTGTTATCTTAATATATTTGTAAAATATGTCTGTATTCCACAAATTTCTTTATTCAGTAGACTCATTAAGGTCTTAACAGTCCCATTACGGAGTTAGACAATTGGGTGAAACTTTTAAAAGGGCCCTTATGAATACAATTATCAAGCTGAATAATTTAAGATTACATAAAAATGCTAATATATACAGCATATTTCAGTATATAGTCAAAACCGTTTCTGAGGAGAAATGACATAGCAATATCTCTTATTACACGTCTAAAATATAATATAATATATTGTTTTAATTAAAATACCTTGTAATGTATTCAAAGTTTTACAATATAAAAAAAATCCGCCCTTTTGCATTTTTGATTTTATAATTTTAGTCTACTACCATTAAGCAACAATATGAAAAATATTAAAAATATTTAACTATAAATTGTTTTTTTAGAAATATTAAGAAATTAATGTTTTCCTCAAATTCAGTTAGATTCTTATCAATTGACACGACACGAAATTTTGATAGTCGGTAAATATCCTCTTTATAACCATGAAGCGTATGTTTTTTTTAATCTTACAAGAAAATATATAATCCAATACCTAATTTTAAAAATGGGTTAATACACTAAAAACATTAATAATCTTTTCCTTTTTAATTTTTTTTTTTGGATTATTAGCAAAATAATAACAAAAAAGAACAATCTTTCGTTGATTATTTGATAGAATGATATCATAAAGCTTGACGAGCACTAGTCGTCGCTTCAATTAATTTATTGATCTACTACATATATTTATAAAACAAAATCTAAAAGTATATTTTTTTTATGAAGGAAGAAAACACATAATGCTTTTATTATTGATCAAAAGTATCCCTCACTGACTAAAAATAAATCAAAAAAATTCTATATACATTTTCTAAATATTTTTAATATGTCACATCGAAGTCCAGAACAACAAACGGTTATGTTAATTAATAACATAAATAGATTGGTTTTTCTTCGTTTTATGAGTTTTCTTTATAGTAGAGAAATTATAATAACTATCTAACTCAGAAGTGCTACTCAAAGCCCATAGAAATGTACTTGTACAGCATCTTCGTCAGACTGGTAATATTAAGGAAAACGTAAGACGGAAATGCAAAGGGCAAAAGATAATTAAAGATCTGGTCTGAGTAAAATATATGTATACTTAATAACAAATTCTTAAATAAAACTCAAATTATATAAAAAAAAACTTGTCATTTTCATCAAAGAATGCAATGGAAGTCATTTAAAAATAGGTTATAAATTAGGTACTTCGTTACTTAAAGTTGTTATACGTTAACAGCGTACTTTGTCGCATAAAAAACATTTCCTGAACGTAGGGCCACAATATGATTATAATATACGGTTAGTATAAATTTATAGCCATTTTAAAAAACGTGTTAACTCGTGGTAAAAGCGGTTCTTTGTCGATGGTTCGTGGTTTGATAACAGCAACCTACAATATACAACGTTAATGAATTGTAGCTAATGGGTTAAATTGAAGTTGTTTTGCTTATAGTACAATATTAAAATTTACAATTAAGATGTAAAAGTAACAACTTCCATGTCTCAAAATAACTTGAATATAAATATATAGTATATATAAAAATATTAACACAAATGTTTTTTCGTAATACATAGTAAGCTTATTCTATAACGTATTATACGTTTTATCGCGTGACAATGGCAAGTAATTACCGTGATATAAAAGAGCTCTCAACACTCCGAATAGGTCGTAATTGAATAAGTACATGCAAAAGAATAATCTGTGAATTAAAAATTTGCAAATATTTTAACTTATATAAAACATGAATAAAAGTAATGAAATATAAAAAAAAAAACAA